AGTCTCGGCAGCTGCTCCCTTCCGGCGGCGCGTGGCGGCGCGTGCGGCGGCGGCTGGTGGCGATCTCAACGGCGATCACTTCGTCTCGTCGTCCTGGTCGTCCTGGTATGGTCACTTGCTGGTTTTGGTCTCCGGTTTGACTGTATGATTGGAATCTCTTTATACCTTAAGATCTTCTATTGTATTCTCAAACAGCTATCTAGATCTTGTATCAGTGGAACACAAGAAATAGAACAACTCCTTGGAAGAGAGAGAGAGAGAGGGGCCGGACGAAATTCCCAAGTTATGGGATTCTGTTCTTCTCTTCCATGAGCCTAATGATGTATATATAGAGCTACAGTAGGGACCCTAATGAGAATAGGAAAAGGGCTTCTAATATATTAATACTGTGGAGCAGCCCCACAATTAATATATTAATAATATTAAAGTCCACCACAATAATATTATTGCACTCCCCTCACCTATCCCAAATTACATTTGAGACTCCTTATTATAATTATCCGATTTACCTCCCTATGTTTAAGATATAATGTCCATTAATTAATTCGATCACTAATAATCAAGAATTAATTAATATATTATATTACCGAAGCTAGCGCTCGCTCATAGCATTCATATTATGCCGGAATAAATCCACCTGCAGGGTTTAGCACAATATTCCTTCATGAACTCACTTCGGGGACATCATCAGACTAACGCACATGGTGACCGTAAATATCCTAATAGCACATCGAACACATAATGTCATTATCCAATTCATTAAGTATGTCGACCCGGCTTGGATCTCACCCAAAGAATCAAAGCAATAACAATTATGTGCACATGCCTATTTAATATCTTACGGGTTAAGAGCACGCAATAATTAACTGAGGCCTAGTTCGTTTACGACGATTAGTATAAAACGAACATCCCTCTCTGGGATCATGTTCAATACATAAATGTACTAGTGCAACTAATCGGTCAAGACAAACCGTACAGTTGACACTACAACCGTTCCGATGGGTTGTTCAATTCCATCTAGGTTGTGAACCAATGATTCTTGTTTCGCAAGTAACTGATATAGTGATCTTCGGTACGCCCGATGACGACCCACTTATCTACATGCAAAACAACAGAACGTGGAACTTATTTAACCAAACATAATTCTCATTCATCAAGGAATAACAAGTGTAATATCTACTAAAGCAAAGCTTAAGTATATAACACCAACAGTGTGCGCGTTCTTGCAAGCTCCAAGACGGCTGATGCAGAGGTCCCGACGACATACGACGATGGTGCCGGAAGTCCGAGATTCGCAACTGAGGTTGATGGCGACAGCGGATCGGACCTCCATCGCGACGGCGGCTTGGCGGCTTGGCAGAGGTGTTGTGACGCTTAAGCCGCCCGTAAGGCTCGACGTCACCGGAAAATCGGGCGGCTGTGGTGGACTATCGATGTGTGTATGTTTTTTTGTGTGTGTGTGTATATGTATGTATTTGTGTGTGTAATAAGTGGGTTGAGCCTGTTGACCGATACTAATGGGAGTGTGTGTCAGTGTGTGAGAGAGTGATAGTGGGTAGGATATGTGATGTGTTTTTGCCACGTGGCACAAATTAATTGGGTGGAGCTAATGTATAAGTTGGCATAAATTAATTATAAGATGTTAAAATGTCTAAAATACCCTTAATGAATAAATAATTGCTGAATTTTTTTTGCCATTGGTTCATTTGATCTAATGGCTACGATGTATTCTCATTTCTTTCATTGACAACCATTCTCACTTGAACCCAACCATATATATATATATATATATATATATATATATATATATATATACTAGTTGTGTTACGCCGTGCACGCACGGCGGACTAACACCCGGTATAATACTACAGTAAAAATTTGTCATAAGTTGTTGCAACTTCTATTCTAGCGTAGTTCTCATATGTTGTGTCTTTTTGTTTTTATAGAAATGTTTCAAGTTTTTATACATATTCGAGTTCAAACATTTATACTAAAACAGTTAAAACCTTAGACAACCATGAGTTTAAACTTTCAAAGCTAAGGAGGCACTCAAAAGACCAATCAAATTCGCTTATTAAACAACAAAAGTTTCACTTAATGAGATGATCATTTCGCTACTATATCACTTATTAGAAGTCATGTGGCGACTTAGGGTTCACAACCTATGCAAAATTGTCGTGAAATCTAAAATACTAAACTAATTTGTGCTGCTATATGAACACGTAGCCCATACATCCACAAACCACTTGCTACTAAAAGTAGCAACACAATAATTGCATAACAAGGAAAAAGAAACAATGAACTGCCAAATCAAAATGATCCCCTTCAAAAATTATTTTTCAATCTCATCAACAAGAAGAATGCCAAAATGACACGAATCCAATAAACAAATTGACAATTTCCCAGAAAGTTAATCCTCTATAAGTATAATAAATTCAGTTAAGCAATTTCGTTAAAGCATTTATTTGAACAAGTCAAATTCAATCGTTTAATTGATACATGAGAAATCAGTTCAACCTTTGAGAATCAATCGCAAATTAAAGAAAATATGTGGAACCAGCGAAGGTTACCAAGGTCCGGGGGCAGATAAACGTTGGTCTTATGAGGAGACGCCATGTGAGAGTTGTAAATTTTCTCTGGATTTCAGCGTTAATATAATAAACATGGAACGCCAGAATCGCGCTTGTGGTTCAATTGGGTTCAGTGTTATACAGTTGTTTCAAAAAGTAGCCATGAAGAATGCGTGTTTCAACTTCATTTGCAAGTCTCTATATATCTCAATAAAAGGCTAAAAAAAAAAAAATTACAAAACAGAAACAAAATAAAACAACGTAATTATATTATGGATCACCACCAACGTGCATATAGCCGACACATATGTTTATAAAGAATAAAGTATAATTGCACACTACATGATTATTGCCAACTGAAAAGAACAATACTGCAAAGCGATTCATTCTCACCTTCCCAATTGGATTCTTCTTCATGAATCTTGAGCAACGGCGCAACAGTTTGCGAGAGATTGATCCCTTAGAGCAAAGCAACAAGAAATCAAAATGAGCATCAAAATTGCTCCCTTGGTGGTATAATCAGTATTTCAACAAAACCCACAGTAAAAAAAATAATATCCAACCAGCTTGAGATGCCAATGGGCATTAAAAGTCATATTTTTTTTTTTTTTGTAAGTTCGTTTTAATTGATTTCTACTTAGGGATCATATCATGATTTTCACCAACAATTTATTTCTAAAGTAAATACTCTCATTGCATAAACTAATCAGTCATTAAATTTTTATGGTCTATTAAATCTGTTGTCATATTAATCTTAGTATTAATCTGAGACGCTTACGCTCTCTGCCGGATCAAAAGCAAAAGGTCTGAACAAAGTATCCTCCATGCATCATTAGCCGACTGAGGTTTCTCCTCAAAAAGAGCTCCTGGCACTGCCAATTGGTAAAACAAATACTCATGGGCACAAAATTGCAAACCAAAATACTAAACTTTCAAAAGAACTATCACATGACATACCAAAATTGCTCATTCTTCAATCAAGCAAGTACCTTGGCATGATCAAAATGAGAAAGCAAATCAAAACAAACACAATGAGAAAGTATCTGACTGCAATATAAATAGAAAAGCAAATCAAAACAAGCACAATGGATACATAGTGGACATGATCACTAACCCAAAATTAAATGCATAATACTCAGCAGAAAACTCTCATTCACTAATAAATGTATCATTAAGTAAAGAAAATTAGGCAAACTGTGTCACTTTCGCAGAAGCTGGCATTGAGTTTAGAAAACAAATCTGATATATCTTGGTAAGCCCATAGGCCCTAACCATAAAAATAACAACTAAAAATTTCTAGAAATTTACTTTCAGAAACTATGATTGTAATTATTCACCTGTCTCTCTCCATAGCCATCAAACCCACTTCCAACATTTATTGTGTGTGTTTTCTTTGTTTTTTTTTCCAAGAACATATAATTGTGATACTCCATGAAGAATAAGGAGAAAACATACAATATCAATTAAAGAAAGAAAATGAAGTAATATCAATAAAGTATGATATAGGTAATCTCTGATTTACACAACACATATCAATAACAATCACAACAATGAAAAAAGAAAAACAAATACAGTAAAAAAACATGCACCGCTGTCCACTATCAGGAGTTTGATCAGATTGGTACTTCATTTTGTAAGCGTCGAGGTGGCGCTTACCAGTGCACCCACCACACCAGATGTCGCATCCACCAATGACACCATGTCTCTTGCCACGAAGAAATACAACCTTTTTTTACACAACACAAAGAAAAAAAGCAAACAGAGAAGTAAACAGAAAAAGTTAAGAACAAGATAAAAAAGGAATTCTCACAATGTCTCCTCACCATATCAGATCAGATCACACATAATCAATCAATCGAGCAAAGTGATCAGAGGACTAAAATTGAAAATGGAAAAATAGAAAAATACCATGGTTTCGTTCTTGTGTATGACTGGGGTTTAGGACGGATAGATTCCGGCAGCAGAGGATGTTTCCGATTGCATTAGGATTTTAAATTTTCTCGAAAAAATAAAATAAAAACAAAAAAACAAGAATCTGTAAATACCCAAAATCGATGAGAAAAACTCGAGATAAGAACACAGAGAACAAATTTATACGCATAAGAAAAACAAATTGTACATACCCAACAAGAACTCCATCGGAGCTACTGTTGTCGTCGTCCAAGGACATACCTTCACCACTCCAACCATCGCCGCTTGTGAACTACCGTGGCTTAGCCTACCGCTCGTCAGCATCTATGTACACACGCCGATGACTGAAAGAAGAAAGTGAAAAAAATAGGGTAAATTTTAATATTTAATGAATTCTGTGACCCCTAATATCTAAATCAAAAGCTCAGAAGTAACCAATCTTGATTAATTCGATTAAAAATATAAAGCAAATGGCTAAATTCAATCACAGAAAATAAAAACCTCAAAAACGAATCTCACCGAAAGTAAATACTGTCAGATTCTTCAAACAATCCATATCCTCAGAGCTCCACGAATTTAAAAATAGGTTCTTGAAAGTGCAACTGCTTATGGTTCGAACAAGAGAGACGATTAAGCAGTGATTAGGCAGTGGGGGCTCCGATTGAAGAGGATGAGGTATGTGTATCTGCATGTGTTTGGTGCATGCAAATGTGTGGGAAAGTGGTTTGTCTGCCCTAATGATGCATCTGAGAAAGAGAGGGTTTGAGGTTGGAAGAAAATCTGTTACATCGATCTATTTCACAGTACTAAAGAATTCTTTATAAACAAAAAAATAAGAAAAACAAATCATATATACCTGATAAGAACTCCATCGAAGCTACTATTGTCATCGTCCACGGACGTACCTTTATCAGCCCAACTATCGCCGCTCATCAACTACCAGGGATCAGCCTACCGCTCGTCAACTACCGGGGATTGAAAGATGCAAGTGCATAATTAGGGTAAATTTTTTGGGAGAAAAAAAAGTAGAAGAAAGAAGAAAGAAGAAAAGAGAGAAGATGATGAATTGAAGAAGCGGAAAAATGGGAGAAGGGGCTAGTTGTGTGTTTTTTTTATCATAGCCTTTTTATTTCATTGCTTTTTGACCGAAGTGATTGTTGCTTGTGTCAGATGTATGTTGTGAAGTGATTGGTTTAGTCGGTCAAATTTTCAATACTTCCTGAGTAAGAAAAAAAAAAGATAACCATATTAACCTTAAAAGTAAAGACAATTAGGGGTAACTTAGTCAGTTACAAAAGTGGCCATACCGTAAATAAATCAGGACACGTGTCAATTTTTAAGAGCCTTCAATTGGACACGTGTCGCCATTTGAAGGGCACAAACTCCTTTGTATATATATATAAGAGAGGATGGTTCAAATGTGGGCCACTCTTAAAATGCGGACGTGAGACCCAATTTGGGTCGTCCATTAAACGCGCGGAAAAATAATTGACATGTGTGCAATTAGATACATTGTATATATATATATATATATATATATATATGAAAACACGTACAGTTCAAATCGCAAACAATCACCTTTGCACAAAAACTTAAACAGAGAATCGCGAGAAAATCTTATCAATCTCAACTTTCCTTCTCAATCTTATTACTTTTTCAATCTCAACTTTCTGACAGAAAGAATCGCGCAACACAAAAAGCAACCGATCGAGAAGGATTACTGATAAAAAACGATTAAACTGCAACGATTATGGAGAATAATCAACATTGATCGAAGCATCTCCATTGCTGACAGTACTGGAAGAAGGTATGCAATTGATTTTGATGTTGATTTTGATTTTGATGTTAATATTGATGATTTTAATTTTGTCGCAGTACTTGAAATTTAAATAGTTCGAGGTTGATGAAGTTGATGTTGTTGATTTTGATCTTAATGAAATTGTTTTTAATGAAAATATCAAAATTTACGTAGAATATAACACATAATCTGGAAATATTTGATCATGTTAGACTGAAACTTTGATTTATGATATAATCGTCGATTTCTGAAATCTAGCATGAATGATCAACTAATCTTGCAACTGGGTACAACTAACCTAGCAGATTTAGACAACTAACCTAGCAACTAAATACATCTAACCTAGCAGCAACAAACAACTGACATTGCAACATGATATAACTAACCTTGCAGAGATGTATATCTAACCTAGCAAGAAAAGAGAACTAACCTAGCAAATAGACATTCCGGGCACCTGTTAGCCCGATGACAGACCTTGTAGTATTTTCTTTACTTTTCCCTTTCTGTTTTTGTTTTCCTTTGATTGTGAGACTGCTGATTGTATTTGATTGATATTTGGGCCCTTTTTCGGGTCTTGATCTATATACAGGTTGGGGATCCAGC